GGCTGTTGTGGAGGGGCGTGTGTGGAATGGCATATGCTAGCTGGTTAGAACCCTGAACAGGAGCCCTTCACACTGCAACATTTTGATACAGATTCACATCTGTTTAGAAAAGCCACCTGTCTGAAAGGTATCACCCCAGGTAACAGTTCAGCTCTTTCTCCTCCACCCCACCTTCTCTCTCTCTCTCTCTCTCTCTCTCTCTCACACACACACACACACACACACCACTCAAATTTCTCCTTCTGCTCTGATGACTTATCAGAAAACACCCCAGAGAAGGGGGCCGAGAAATAGCAGACAGAAAGGAGAGGCAAGGACAAAGGTGGCAAGACCTGTTCCAATTTTAGAAACTGGCTGGACAAGAAATGGAGAATCCAGCAGGCAGAATGGATTTATGACCCATCACTAGCTGTTCTCCCCTTCTCCCGCCTTCCACCCCTCCCTCTCCTGGGAGGTACTTTAGTTGAACGGGAACTCCTGGCTGAAGATCCTGTTTCCTGGGAGACTCAGACATTCATGCAGAAGGCTAAGAGCTGCCTACAGGGATGGAGAGGAGGCTGCCAATGGAGACATGTTGATGCACAGAAACCAGAGGGGGAGAGAAGGAAGCAGCAGGAGCGGGTGAACACCCAGGGAGAGGGTAACACATAAGCAATGATGGCAGGCAGCTGTGCACATGGCTCAAGTTCCCTGGCAGCCAAGAGCTGTCCAAGTTGTGATCCTGTGCCCTTGAAGCAAGCTTGGGAAATGAAGGGGCAAAAGAGGGAAACCTCAAGTCTGTGTATTAGGAAAGAACCCTGGGATTTGACCCTGCATGGCAGCTGAAGCAACAGCTTCTCAAAACTCTTAGGTTATTCCTTCCTCCCTTTTCCTTTGAGAAGGTGAGCAGCATTCTAAGCCAAATTCTCACAAAGGTGGCAAACCTATATCTGGGATGTACCACTTGGTGGGGTGGGGGGCATGGAATCCTGCAACAGATTACATCATGGGCAGGGGTAGGAGGGGATCTCCTTGTCAAAGGAAACAGATATTAGAGTCCAGGGTTCTAACTTAACCAGTTTTCTATATGTATTATTTTTAGAAGGGGAAGTATTCTGTCATGCAAGTCCCTCCCTGAAGTGGAAGGGGAAGAGCAACAAGTGTGAATTTTGCCTTTGTGCAGAAGGCTACTTTCCACATGGACAGCCCCCCCCCCCCCCCGCTCTATCCTCCATCCAGGAAAGCAAAGAGGTGTTTTTAGAGCTCAAGGGCACATCCCAGCCAGGCAAAAAAGGTCAAGGAGGTTGCAAAGCAAGGCTGGTGAGGGGGGTGGCTTGAAGAAAGTCATGAGTGTCCATCAGAGAGGCCAGGAGGCCCCATTCAGGCCCCCTGCTGCTATATGTCTTTACAATTCCACCACAAGAAAAGAGAACACCTAAGTCTAGCTCAGTGTGGGTAGCCTTGTTTCAGATAAAGGGTTATCACTTCTGCCACTGCTGAATGGCAACGATCAGCTCCATTACCTAACAAAACAATAAAATAAACGGAATGGGGTTTGTCATTTATTTATTCTGTTCACACACAAAAAGGTGGCTTTTCCAAAGGTGGCGCTCTAGGGTTTTGGACTCAGAAGATCTGCATTCAGGAGCCACACTTCTCTGTGCTCCAAGGATCTCAGCTCCCCTAACCCCTTGGAGGAATCCCCTTGTTGCTGATGGTTCATGGGAGTGTGTGGAGAGACATGAGTCAGTACGCTATGAATAAATTTGAAAGGACAGGAGGAAGCTCAGCTTATTCCTTGGGCTGGTGGCAGCAGCAGAGATATTCCAAAGAATGACTCCTACACAGTGGGGGTTCCTGGAAGGCTCCCATGGCTCTGCCGGGCACATACAACCTTTGGCTCCTTGTGAGCTCCCACAGTCCCAGACTATGACACACACTTTCCCTTCTTATCTGGTTGCTGTTTATGGCACAGACCCAGAACCACCCCATCGTCCCGTTAGACCAGTTCCTCAGTCGGGGTGTCTAGAGCTGTGACTGGATCACCCCCTGGGAAAGAAAAGAAGGGAAGCAAGATGTAGCAGAACCAGCACCATATATTTAAAGCACATGACTGCCCACCCCTAAGAATCCTGGTCACCCCCCTCTTCTCTCAGCCTAACATTCCTCACAGGGTTGTTGGTAGGATAAAATGATATAATCCCTAAGTATGCTGTGTTAGGTCCTGAAAGGAAAGGTCCTGAAAGGACAGGCAGTATGCTCGATTCTGATGACACCTCATGCAAAATCCCTGGTTGACCTCTGTCAGTGGTTTCCTGTATACTAAAAATGCATGGGTGAGTCCCTGTGAGATCCCATAGCAAGGACACCTCAGGGCCAAGCAGCAGTCTCCCGGGACCACCTTCTGGAATATGGCACCCTGGTAGATTGGAATCACTGAAATATGGTGATTTGGAATACTGTATACAGTTCTGGTTCCCTCATCTCAGAAAGAATATTGTATAGTTGGAAGGGGTTCAGAAAAGGGCAACCCAAACTGATCAAGGGGAGAGATCAAGTTTAGAGAAAAGGCAAGCAAAGACATGACAGAGCTTTATAAAATTATGCATTGCATAGGGAGAGTGGATAGAGAAAAGATTTCCCCTCTCTCAAAACACAAAACTCAAGGAAAGCCAATGAAGCTGAATGTCAGAAGATCCAGAACAGATAAAAGAAAGTACTTTTTGATGCAGTGCATAGCTAAACTATGGAACTTGCTCCCACAAGAGATAGCGGGGTCATAAACGTGGATGGATTTAAAAGCTTAGGCAAAGATGCTATGGCTATTTGTGGCTAGTAACCCTAATGGCCATGTTCTTCCCCCACTGTCAGAGGAATCATGCAGGTGGGGAATATCATTGCTGCACTCAGGTCCTGCTTACAGGCTTCTTGCAGGGGTCTGGGAGACCACTGTGGGAACAGGATAGTGGACTAGATGGGCCATTGGCCTGATCCAGCAGGCTCTTCCTATGTTCTTACAGTGACCCCTTCTTCAGTACAAAAGGATAACATGGTTGATAAGCCACCACTGTCAGAACCCACCCTAAGCTTCGCCTCTCCCTTCCCTAGAACACAATATGAGAATATTTTATTTTAAAAGTTGGCAATTCTAGAGGTAAATTTCCTGCTGAGACTCTACTAGAATCCACACAGGAAGTCAGCTCTGCAGGCTGCAACCCAAGAGGATCCACTGTCAGATTAAGCCGCCTGCTTACGAGCACAGGACAGGACAGGGTGCTGCTTCTGCATATCCACAGCCATCTAAATTGGATGTGTCTGGATGTGGCCAGAAGGCAGAGATGAGGACAGCATGGCTCACCTTGAGAGAAGCACTCGCTCACAATCTGTTCTCAGCAAGGTCATTGGTTCTTTGAGCAACAAGGCTGGATGGGGTGTGGGAGGCAGACAAAGTAGTCAAGCACCTTCCTTGTGGGAGGTTTATGTCTGTTAAATGGTGAATAAGCAAGCCTCAGCTCCAAGATGCCTGATCTTAAGCTCAGGTGGAGGGAATCTCCTCCCCAAAGCAAGGTGAGAAAGGGTTAGAAAGCTTCACAACACCATGGGACCGTCCTACTGGAAAGCTGTCCAAGACCACAGGTAACCAATGTCACAGGAATTACTGGCCATGAGTCTTTCTAGGTTTTGTTTGTTTGAACCAAGCATTTTAACCTACTTGGCTACCCTGCATAGTGTCTTTTGTGCTGACTGCTCCCTCTGCTAGCTTTATAGGGAAGGAGAATGGGACGACTTTTCTGGCTGTTTCTTTTTTTCTTTTTGGCACAGAGGCATACCAGGAGGCTTGAGAAAGGGGCAGGGGGGAGACTTTGTATATAATCCATTGTTTTAGTAAGTCTCGGCCTCTCCTCCCAAGCACCAAGGCCTTTGCCTTGAACCTTGGCCAACTAGATAAATATTTTAGAAGAAGCCAAAGAATCTGGTGCAATTATGGCTCCTCCCAGCCACCCTCAAGGTACAATGTTGCTTGGTGCAAGGTGCAGAAGCTGTGGGTATGAATGGGTTATGGAACAGATTTTAAAGACTCTTGGGCATTGAGCCAACAAGTCTGGGTGGCCTTGGAAGGCTTAGACAAGTTATTGGAGCATACAGCATTTAGCCATGTAGGTAAGTGGAACCTCCATGTTCTGAAGCAGTATATCTCGAAATACCAAATGCCGGGGAGATGCAAGCAGGAGTGGGATGGCTGGTTTCTGAATTTACCCTGCTTTTCGGCCAAGAGATAATTACAGTCCACAAAATCAAGACAGTCCCTGCCTGCCCTCAAACTCACAAAAGACACAACACAAAAGGAAAATGGCTCGGGAAGGAGAAGAAAGCAAGAAAACTCAATGACCAGCTCTTAGTTACAGGTTATTCTGTCTTTGCTTGTGAGCTGTTGTGGGCTACCTTCCTGTTCAAGTACCTCTCTCAGGCTGGGCAAAGGGGAATGCAAGAACTACGCATTGCAAGGAGCCCTCACCAAAACAAGAACACGGCACAGCTGGGAGCATGCACCTAAATCACCAGGAAGCAACCACTCCTCCCACCCCTACCCCGAAGTGATAGCAAGGTGAAAAATAAACTACTGGACTCCAATAGATGCTGCCTTATGTGAGCATCTCTGCCTTCTCACACAGGCACAGCACCCATTAGAAAACCAGGCGTTTAGATGATGAGATATTCACACAGGGTCAGCTTCTTTCTATGTACTTAAAGTTGCTGTTCCTCCATCTGCTCCCGCCACCACCCTTTGAGAGATCAAAACAAAACAAGATTCATTCATTTATTTATTTGTGCAGAAAAGGTTTCCAGTATTCAGAATGGAAAAACACAAGGTGCCAGCAGAGCCCCTACGCTGATCATATGCAACCTGTCAGTCAGCCGTCACTTTGTGGATGCCCATAAACTGCTCCATTACCCCTTCTAATTGAGAAGAATGCAGCTGCCGAGGGGTGGTGGCAGCATGGTTTTTTATTTTTATTTTTAAAGAGAGACAGAGAAGGGATAGCTTAGATTGGTATCTGAAGGTGGATTCCCGGAATGCTTCCACCATTACTGCAAGGGGGAAACCCATAACTCTGCTTGCGGGGTTCCTCCACAGGCACTCGGTTGGCCACTGTGAGAACAGGGTGCTGGACTAGATGAGCCTATGGCATGATTCAGCAGGCCTTTCTTATGCTCTTATAATTAAAAAAAGCAGGTGGGCCAGAGCTGTGATGGATGTAGGGGCAAGGAGCAACAGAATACGGTACTCAAAGAATCTGCAATGGAAACCAACCACTCCAACAGAATTCAGCAGTTAGGATAAAGTAAGGAAATGGATTTGGATTTTTCCATCTTAGGAATTCAAAATACCTTGCACCATCCCATTTTTGTTCTTTCTTTTTTTTTGAAAATAATATTTATTACTTTTCCAACAATTTAAACACTACAAAAAAAGAATGAACAATACAATACAATACAATACAATACAATACAAAAACACTACATAACACTAACACATTAAACTAACAAGACAAAACAAAAACAGTTTAAAACACACAAACAATTTCAATATCTTATCTTTCATTCACTTATTTCAATGACCTCCTCACACCTCCCTTTTTGTATTCCACTTCTATTAATTGTTTCAGCAATTCCTTTCCATCTTCCTCTGCTTTCTATCCTATAATTATCTTAACACATTCTAACCTTATTTTTCCTTTTAATACTCTATTAATCTATTTATACTTAATTCCTTATAACATTTCTACTAAAGCCATATAACTTCATCCCAACATTTTTCTAACATTCATTAATTTTACAGTATTTCTGTAAATAGTCTTTAAACTTTTTCCAGTCTTCTTCCACCAACTCTTCTCCCTGGTCTCGCATCCCATTTTTGTTCTGATGGCCCGCTTGCAGCCATATATGCACATCTCTGGCTTCAGGCAAGGCACCTATGTTTTTCTTCCAGACACTAAAGTGGGGGAGCTTTTTTAAGCCTGAGGGCCACATTCCCTTCAGGAAAACATTTGAAGGGCCCCATGTGGGCTAAGCAAAGAATGTGACATTCTCCTCTGTACAGTAGGCCAATAATTTCTTTAAACTTACAAAGCTCTATCCTCTACCCAGGCAAGAAATAAGCATGAGCAGAGTTCAAGGAAATGTTCTAGCCAGGCCAAAACACTCAAGGATTGGTGGTAGGGGGTGAATAAGGGCTGGTGAAGGGTATACCTCTGGAGGGTGTGTTGCTTGGGAAAGAGTCCAGAGGGGCAATTAGGGAGGCATGGAGGGCCACTGTTGGCGCCCAGGCCTGGGGTCCCTCTCCCTGCACTAAAAGGCAGGCATGTGTGTTGCAACAACAGATGGATGTGCCTTGAAATGGCTTTGCTGTAGTGACTGCTCTGAAAAAAGTTGGTGAAATCTGGACACAAGACATCAAGGCAGGGATGGGGTTCCTATGGCCCTCCAGATGTTGTTGTGCTACAGCATCCCTATTGGCCATGCTGAATTGGAACCCAACAACATCTGGAGGGCCAATGGTTCCCCATCCCTGTATTAAGGCATCACAAAGAGCACTGGGAGACAGGTCTCCTTTTCTGCATTTTTTTAAAAAGCAAGATCTTGAGAAAACATTTGCTTATTTGTTTAAAATCACTCTCATTCACAATTGTTCTTAGTGTTGTTACCATGCAGCCAAATCTAATCAGCGATGTTTACCTGAATTATCTCATTGATTATGTGATCGCCTCATGAGTTATGACATCTTTTGTCCGCTGCATGAGATTTGTCAAGAAAGGAGGAAACTGACAACAGAAATAATGGTACCAAACTGTGTTCAGTGGTGGCCAGGCAAATATTTGTACATGGTAAAGTTGTTTCGGCAGGTTGGGGGGTTACCCTACCCCAATCACTAATCTCACCCCCAACATTGAAACTGCTGGAAGTCTGGTACAGCTCTAGCTTTCAAAATCTAGGGCTTAAACTGCAAGACAGACACTTGGTTGGAAACTTATTAATTGCTGCCAGAATAGCATTGGCAAAGCTACAAATCCCTGACTCTATGGATCGGCTCAAGAGGTCATGGGATATAAGAGAGATGAACAAATTAACTTCTCTCATTCTTATGACAGAAAGAAAAAACTGGAAAGAAAACCTCCAAAACCACACGGAAACAAGTTTGCATATTTTGGAACAATAACTGAGGGGTAATTATATAATGCAGGTTCTACAAAATGCCAGCAATGCTCTTTGTTGGAACTGCTGCAACCTTCCCCAACCTGGTGCCCTCCAGATGTTTCCACCTGCAACTCCATCAGCCTCAGCCAGGTTGGGTACGGCTGAACTAATGTATTATCTAATTGGAAAATGGAGTAAGGGGTAAAAACCTCTCACTACGTAACAGACTGAATCAAAGGGTAGCATAATATTCAACACATATGGTAGCAACTGGGCACCTGTGGCTGTCTAATGCAGGGTAGCTAAGATGATACCCTCCAGATGATTTGCACTACAGCTCCCATTAGCTTAAATTGTCAGATATGGTAGGTGCTGTGGTCTCAAGTATATGGACAGCACCATCATTGGCTGCCCCTAGTCTAATGGCAAAACAAGCAAGGGTCCACATTTACCTTGCTAAAATGAACATTGGAAAGCTCAAAACAAAGTTAGCCCAATGTCTTATATAGATTTTTGGGGAGAGACTAAGATTGGGGCCCAATTTCAGAGCCTTTCATATAACTACAACAAAATGTGGAAAAGGTTCAGTATGATGCAGTTTGTACACAGGCGATCTAGGTTCAAGTCCCCTATTGACTGTGAAGATTAGAGTATAGGCCTACATTACTTATTTGGAAGACATAGCATCTTCCAAAGCAACTATTCTATTCCCAACTTAAGAATGGAAAGCGTAATGCCAGTGGGCAACAAAAGAGGTTTAAAGACTCTCTCAAGGCAAATCTTTAAAAAATTGTAGCATAAACACTGACAACTGGGAAACACTGGCCTGCGAGCACTCCATTTGGAGAATAGCCTCTACTAAAGGCGTCATGGACTTTGAAGAAGCACAAACTCAGGATGAAAGGGAGAGAAACAAGCTAAGAGGAAGGCACATTTGGCAAATCCTCACCATGATCAACTCCTGCTGAGAAACCTATGACCCCACTGTGGAAGGATGTGCGGATCCAGAATTGGCCTCCAAAGTCACTTACAGTTAAGACCGTGTTCATAAGACAATGTACTTGGCTATGCGTGATCGCCAAAGAAGAAAGAAGACATTACTTATAATGCAGTCCTGCACATATATACTTAGAAAGAAGCACCGATGACTTAAACAGGACTTACTCCCAGGTAAGGGAACTGTACAGGATTACAGTTTTACACGGTTTTTATAATTGATTCAATGACCTATCCCCAAAGAACCCTGGAAACTGTAGTTTGATGAAGATACAAAGAATGCTCCCCCGCCCACACACAACATAGGTCTTCCTATGAAGAAGAATGACTATTAAAACCAGTTTGTGCCTCTGCTCTATAATATATGCTCTCACTGGCTAGCCTTGGGTAAGATACTGGCTTTTATTCCAACTTCCCTAATGGTCTGGGCAATAAAAGTGTCAGGTGATAAACAGGAATATATTCCTATGCAAAAATGTATTTAAAACTTGGCATCAAAGTGACTCAAGTTCTGTGCTCAGAATCATGCTGCTAGTGGCGCTCAGAGGATGGGTGCACAGCCCAATAAGGTGTCCCAATAAAAAGGGACAGGTGTGTGCCCCAAAGTAGCTGAATCTGCCAGCTAGTAGTGAATAATAATTGGGCAATCACGGATTCTGTTGAAAGGCTCTGCCCAATTTGCGTGCCATGGCTGCATCGTAGGGCTGCTGCTTTAGATGGCTTTAAAGGGAAATGAGACAAATTCATGGAACACAAATTCAGATGGCTAAGAAGAAGCTCCTTGTTCAGAGGTAGTGGACCACTCCCCACCAAATAACCACCAGGAGAAGGTTGTTGTCTCCACACCCATGTTCCTGGAGGCATCTGGTTGGCCACCTTCAGGAACAATAATGCTAACCCAAAAAAGCCTTTGGTCTGACCAAACAGGACTCTTCTTATGCTCTTATTACTGTGCTGTGCATCACTGTGGCAAGTAGCCAACATGGTAAAGGTAAAGGGACCCCTGACCGTTAGATCCAGTCGTGACCGACTCTGGGGTTGCGGCGCTCATCTCGATTTATTGGCCGAGGGAGCCGGCGTACAGGTCATGTGGCCAGCATGACTAAGCCGCCTCTGGCGAACCAGAGCAGCACACGGAAACACCGTTTACCTTCCCGCTGGAGCGGTACCTATTTATCTACATGCAATTTGACATGCTTTCGAACTGCTAGGTTGGCAGGAGCAGGGACCAAGCAACAGGAGCTCACCACATCGCGGGGATTCGAACTGCTGACCTTCTGATCGGCAAGTCCTAGGCTCTGTGGTTTAACCCACAGCGCCACCCGCGTCCCTAGCCAACATGGTACCTTACAGATGATACTGGACTTTAATTCCTATCATGCCTGACCACTGGCCACACTGGCTAGGGCTGATGGGAATTGGGAGTCTGACAACATTGCAAGGGCACCATGCCGGCCACCCCAGAGCAGAGGTATTCCAGCAGACATCATTGCACCCTCTTTTATCAGAAACAATTCAAGTCACATTGCATGACAAAACTTTTTGTCGTGTATCTTGTTAGCAGAGCTCAATCCAAGGTCATTATCGTGCTTCTGCAGATGTCTTCTCTCTCTCTCTCTCTCTTTTTTTTTTAAGAAAGAGAGTGAAAAAGGGGGGATCTAGGCCCCTGAGTCTTGTCTGGCAATGAAGCAGCTGTCTGCAGCCCAGCATCCTCCCTTTGGAGGATACAACAGCAATATTTACTGTACTGCAGACCTAGCTGGCCGCAGCCCAATGCACTCTGGATTCAGAGAGTGGATTCAGCTCTGGGCAGGACAGACACAAGAGTATTTGGGTGCAGAACAGCATGATGTGATACAGCTTGGGGATTAGGAGGCAAAAAGGAGGGTGCTTTTTTCTGCAGTAAGAGCACATGCAAGGCAGAACAGAAATACAGGCAAAGTCATGCCCACTATGGGAGGAAGGTTGGAGGAGTGGTTGTGGGGAGGAAAAAGAGAGGAGGAGGAGGAGGAGGAATACTGGGGGGATTTCATGCCAAATATATTCAACCTTCCCTCCGAATCTCACTGAAGTGGAAAATTTTCCAAGCAGCTCCACAGCTCGTCCACTGCCTGCTGGAGCCCCTGGGTAAAAGCACTGCGGGATGCCAGTGCATCCGTAATCACCATGGAGAATGCCATGTTTGTCCCTGCGGCACAAAGCACAGGCACCCCGGCTTCCCCCTGCAGCGGAGAGGCTACTGTCCTGTGGCAATGGTGGTGGTGGTGATGGGGTGAGCCTCCGTCTTGCAAACATTCAGGAAGTCACCTGGTGATGAAAGGACTGCTGGTCTAAGCACTACTGCAAAGGCAGCCGAGGAACTGGGAGGGGGGCACAGACAAAGTTGCCATTTATTCCACTCCCTGTTCCATGGGAGGCAATGAGCAGGAAGATTGATGCTCAGCCGCAAATCAGCACAGAGAGAGTGGCTTTTCTTCTTCCCGCAGACAGGCAGGAAGAATGAGCCAGCCTTTAAAATGGGGGACAAGGGCTTGGTTTTTACAGAAGCATTTCCAAGGGCTTGTGCGCTTCCTCTGCCCTCCCTTCACTCCTGCTCTGCCCCATGCTGCATTTCAAGGCAGGACAAACACACACACGGAGCAGGAGGACGAAAGCCAAAGAGACTTAAGGCACAGATAGGCGCCTGCAGAAAAGAGAAGCAGAAGCCAAATCAGGCTTACAGCCCTGAAGGAAATCCAGAGAGAGCAGGTTGGGAAGGCGGGGGGGGGGGGGAGGAAGGGGGGGAGAAGAGACAGGAGGAGAGGGAGGAAAGCAGCAACAGAAAGGAGGGGGAAAGAAGGGAGCAGATGAGAGAGTGTGCAGTGGCAGGAAGACTGGAATGTCAGCTGGGGCAAGAGGCTAGCAGATGCTGTGGGCTCCAATTACATCTAGGGGGCAAGTTGGCTGCGAGCAAAGTGTGGGAAAGGGGTCTGGTTTCTCCAGCGGCCTGGAGAAAGGCTAAGAGCAGGGAAGAAAGCCAGCTGCAAAACACACAGGCAGGACAGCAACAGAGAATGCAGAGCAAGGTCTCTACTTTGGCCCAGAATCCTACTGGACAAGGTGTGTAGCCCTGCTGGTTTCTCTGGGTACACAGCAGGAGCCGCCTGCTTAGGAGATGGGGAAAACAAAGCAGGCCTGAAATGTGTGAGAATCAGTGCTCCACATCCAATCAATGCTTCCCATGGAAGAGCTCATGTCTCGGAGCTCTCTTACTGGTCCTGGGGCAAGTACCCAGGAACTCAGCAAAGGTGGTAACAAGCACTGCAGACTTTAGCTTGCTGAGGAGGACCGCTTGGAAGTTAAGATGCAGGGGAGCCGTCAGGCAGATCTGTGATCCGCAAGACCTGTTTAACCTGCTTGTCCTCACAGGGGTGTTCTGAGGATAAATGAGTACTGCAACACACTTCATAGATGCTGCCCAATTCAACAAAAAACTATTAAAAGACTTTATTTATTAAAGATTAACAGTGTGGGCTGCAGCTTTTAATTGATGAATCGGTTATCTAAAAAACCTTTTGACTGACTAAAAAAAGGGGACCCCCAATTAATCCAGCAACACTGTAAAGAAGTGAACAGAATTGTTTCCCCTTCTCTCTCTCTCTCTCTCTGCTTCCATCAAGCTCAAGGTTGCAGTATATATGGGGGTAATCCCACTTTATCCTCCTAACAGTCCTGGGAGGGCAGGCTCTTCAAGACCACCCAGTGAGCTTCGTGCTTTGGCAACAGCTGGATCTAACAGCATTCCTGACTCCAGGGCCAGCCTCAACACGAAGTGACATGAAGCAGTAGCTGTATGGGGCAGAGTCCAGGTTAGGCACTTTTTGGTGTGTGTGGTTTTTTTTACTTCCCCTACATTGCCTTTCTGGGCACCATTTTAAAACAGACAAACTCAAAGAGCCCAGGCACCTGTGTGTAACTTTGACTTTCTCACTTCAGGCGTGAAAATGGCCATGGGGTCCAAGATGGCCCCCAACTCCCTCCTGACCTCCCCCAAGGACAAGGGAAAGACCCTCCACAACCCTCCTTGCACTTGTTGGGACTTTGCAAAACTGGTTCAGACTGGAAAAAACACTATCGGCTTCTGGAGGACCTTAATTTGCTAGAGAGAGATGTGGGGGATGAAAGGAAAGACCGAGTTTGCAGAAACAAAAGGAGCCAAATGGGAGGGAGACAGGAAAGCAAGAGCCGTACTGTTCTAAATCAAGGCCCGAAAGAACGTTTTTTCCTGGGTTGCCCATGCAAACCAGCAGGTCCCCCAAACCAGGGCTAAGATCTTGTCCCGAGGCTGCCTCGAGGCTAGAGCTGCTGCAGAGGATATATTGTTCAAGTGCTCCTGGAATGGCTTTCCAAACATAAAAATGAAGCGTGTGAATGCAAGAAAGACCTGTGCCTGCAAACGGGGGCTCTGCTGCAGATTCCTCCTCACCGCTCTATGCACAAATGCCAGTGATGAGGCCCATATACAGGGCTGCCTTCCGCAAACTCCTGAGAGAGGGGGAAGATTGGCAGTCCCCGTGAGAAGGCTGGGGATGGCAGAGGGCAGAGCTCCTCGGCAGTGTGTGTGGCCATTCGTCCTTCCATTTTGGCCTCCAGTCAAATTCTATTAAGAAATGTTTGCCCAGCTTTCCTTTGTTTAATCACACCTCTGTTCAAGGACCAGAGAAGCGGATGGAGAATTTAAGTGCAGCCTTCTGCAGCCCGGCCCCATCCAGATGTTTGGACAACAGCTCCCATTGTTGTCGTTCAAAACATCTGGAGGGCACCAAGTTGGGGAAGGCTCAGTGCCCTGAAGCAGGACATCCTACACCTGAAGAACCACCAGCAGATGCTTGGGTCAGTCTTTGCTGGGAAACATTCAGGAAAGATGTAGGGGAGTACGTCTGTGAGGTACAACTCCTAAGAGAGCAGCTCTAAAACCTACAGTTTTAAACCCCTCCTTGTTGTCCTGCCTCCACTGGCTTATATGAACAATTGTGGGCCTTCCTTCTCTCACTGCTGCAACATTCATAAATAATAAACACTCCCGAAATTCTTTCCCCCCAAAGTTTCTAGTTTCTACACAGAATCACACACAATGGGCATGCTTCGTCAATAAAATATAACAAGAAGAAACACAGCTGTACATATAAAGCATTCTGCAAATATGTGTGGCAACAAAAAAAGTTACAGATTTCCCTGGCACAAAATTGTGATTTAATTTATCTGGACACAAGGTAAAGAACAGACAGGTGCAATAACTGTCAATGTTACACTGTCCACTAACCCATGGTGAAAACAGAATTAAGTAAGGTGAAGGCTGCAATTATATGCACACTTCTCAGGAAGTAGGGCCCACTGAACTCAGTTGGATTTACTTCCAAACAGACATGCATAGGATTCCACTGCAAAGATCCAAAGAGATTCACATGCAACAAGACATATGCGTGAGGGAAAGAAAAAACAAGGGGGTAAACTATGCAACCAAAGAGATAGTGAAGAGCTCCAAAAGGACCTCTGAGTGAATGGGCAGTAAAACAGCAAATGTGCTTAAATGTAAACAAGTGTTTGGGCAAAAACATCTTAATTTCACATTGACTGACCAGGAGGAAAACCTTGGGGTTGTAGTGGATAGCTCTATGAAGATGTTGACCCAGCTGTGTGCGGCAGCTGTGAAAAGGGCAAATTCAGTGCTAGGGGTCATTAGGAAAGGAACTGAGAATAACACAGCCAATATCATAATGCTGTTACACAAATCCAGGGTGCAACGTCACTTGGAATACCATGTACAGTTCTGGCTGCCTCACCTCAAAAGGATATTATAAAGTTAGAAAAGCTTCAGAAATGGGCAACCAAAACAATCAAGGAGATGGAGCAATTCCTTGAAATTCATGGAGGGTAAGGTTATCAGTGGCTACTAGCCAGGCTGCCTATGCTCTGCCTGCTCCCCAGTTGGAGGTGGTAACATAGGCGCCATAATATGAGGGGGGCACCCACGCTTCTTCCCCACTCCCCATACTTCTGCAGAGCACACCTTCCTCTGCCCATACAGGCCTCCCCTTTCCCCCTGCCCGCTCACCTCTCACCCTAATCCACCTGTGTGCAAAAGGTTTCCGCCCACTTGCCTCTCCTACTGGCCTGCCTGCCTGCCTACCTCTCTCCAGCTGTCCTGGCTCAGACACACTGGGAAAGGGCACTGAAACCTAGGAAAAGAGAGAGACGCCCATCTGCGAGGGGGGAGGTTGGCTGCCCAAAGGAGGAAAGCAGGAAAGCGCCAACTTGCAGAAAATATGGTGGGGCTGCCTCCGCTAAGTATTTTATTGGGGAGGGGGCAAAGAGACCAAGGCCTCATAGAGTTAGTGCCTATGGGTGGCAATGCTTCAGAATACCCGTTGCTGGAAACAGGAGGAGTGCTCAGCTCCTGCTTGTGGTGTCTGGTAGGTCACTGTGAAAACAGGATGCTGGACTAGAGGGGCTGCTAGCCTGATCCAGCAGGCTGTTATGATGTTCACATTGGCACTCACAACAACAGTAGATATTCATTTGGGCTGAGAGGTGGATAGGAAGGAGTGTCCTCAGTCATCTTAATCAGGGGGGTGTTAATGGACCGTATGGGCAAAAAGTGTCCTTGCAGGAGTTTACCCTCTTTTTTTAAAATGAGACTTCTGGTGCAGGGTTGGTGGAATGAACCAGTCTGTATGTGTGCGTACAGGGGGAGAAACAAGATTCACAAAGTTGCTATGAGTGTGAGAAGAGTCATCTTCCTTAATACTCAGCATGTCACACAAAATATAGCAACAAGTGCCCAGGCACGTCTGCAAGTATGTTCTACACATCATTAACATCAGCAGTGGACACATGTTCTGGGAGATGTGTCACATTTTCCCTCCAGGTACAAAATACTACAATTTGAATGCTGGTAGAATGAGATTACCTCCATGCCAGAAAAGCAACCTTGATAGAAGGCTGAAAAACTGCACGCAATGCATGAGGAGAAAATGTGTATTGATTGCACGGTGCATTGGTCTGGTGGAGTGGCCTGTAGAGGCCCCAGTGAGGACTTGCCTTCATGAACAGCTCAAGGGGTCAGAAACAGTGGGTCCAATTACAGCTTGCAAAGATTACACGTTCACCTCATTTGTATTGTTTACAAAGCTGACTGTGGACCCCAAAGAGCACCAGAACATTCAAACAACATTCAAGCTCAGAGTGATTGCTACTGTGCTTGGCATACACAATCTCACATAGAGACACTAAGGCCAGTGTGGTGTTGCAGTTAGGAGTCTTGGACTAAATTTTATTATGAATCAGCAGCTTTTTGCTGGTTGAAAGAATGGCTACTTCTTGAAAATACAGACATTTTGGATTTAGAAGGTTTTAACAACGTATTTGGATGGCATGCATATTTATGGTATGATAAGGTCAAAGCACATAAAGCATTTAAAAATCATATTGTCAGGAAAGCACTGTTTAATGTTTGGATAAGGTACAAGGATTTATTGGAAAATAAAACCCCAAGGTGGTTGTCACCGATGGAAGCGAAAGCTCTGAAAAGGCTCAATATGGAGGCCAAATGGCCGAAATATTGGGAAATTTTGGAACAAGAAGGAGACAAATTGAAATTGCAGAGTTTCGAGAAATTAAAAACAAAGTGAGAGATTGGCTTCATTATTATCAGATAATGGAGGCATATAATTTGGATAAGAAAATTGGCTTCCAGGTGGAAAAATCAAAACTAGAAACAGAACTGTTAGAACCCAAAACTAAGAATTTGTCAAGAATGTATAACTTGCTGTTGAAATGGAATACTCAGGATGAAACAGTGAAATCTGCTATGATTAAATGGGCACAAGATGTTGGACATAATATTATGTTTGCTGACTGGGAACAGTTATGGACCACAGGTATGAAGTTTACGGCATGTAATGCCCTAAGAGAGAATATTATGAAATGATATACAGGTGGTACATGACCCCAGTCAAGCTTGCAAAAATCTATCATTTGCCCGACAATAAATGCTGGAAATGTAAAGAAACTGAAGGTACATTCTTTCACCTTTGGTGGACGTGCCCAAGGATTAAGGCTTTCTGGGAAATGATATATAATGAACTGAAAAAGGTACTTAAATATACCTTCTTGAAGAAACCAGAGGCCTTTCTTCTGGGCATTGTCGGCCAATTGGTGCCAAAGAAGGATAGAACTTTTTTTATGTATGCTACAACAGCAGCAAGAATACTCATTGCAAAGTATTGGAAGACACAAGATCTACCCACTTTGGAAGAATGGCAGATGAAGGTGATGGACTATATGGAATTGGCAGAAATGACTGGCAGAATCCGAGACCAGGGAGAAGAGTCGGTGGAAGAAGATTGGAAGAAATTTAAAGACTATTTACAGAAATATTGTAAAGTTAATGAATGATAGAATGATGTTGGATACTAATTAAGCAGTTTCCAGCTGTAATGTTCTAAGAGAATATGAAAAAAGGGTTATAAATGGGTTAAAATCTAATGGTAAGGATTTGCTGAACCAATAAATTGAAGTGGAATACAAAAAAGGGAGGTACGAGGAGGTCCGGGAAACAAGCTAAAGGAAAATAAGTAATAGAAAATATGTGTGTTTTTAACTGTTTTTATTTTGTATTTTTCTTTTTTCTTTTTCATTTTCACTGTAATATTTCAAAAAACCTTAATAAATATCTTATTAAAAAAAAAAAGGAGTCTTGGACTAGGACCTGGGAGGCTAAGGATCAAATCTCCACTCAGCCACTCACTGAGTGACCCTGGGCCAGTCACCATTTCTCAGCCTAAACCACCTCACAGGGTTGTTGTTGTGAGGACAATTAAAGGCAGGGAGAACCATGCATGCCACCTTGAGCTCCTAGGAAAAAATGTGGGATATAAGCATAACCATAAATAAATTGAGCATCAAACACCAAACTCAGTGTAGACTGTTCGTTATCTGAAGTGCTGAATTTCATAAAGAGTAGAGAGTTCTTCCTTTTGCCAAGAGGCCATGATGGCAATTACTTTTACACTGAACACATGTGAGCACTTTCACCCACTCCCCAGCAATGTTAGTAGGAGCATATTATAAGTTTATATCACAAAACTGTAGAGCTGGAAGGGACCCTGAGGGTCATCTAGTTCAATCCCCTGCAATGCAGGAATCACAGCTAAATAGTCCCTGACAGAAAGCCACCCAACTTCTTGTTTTAAAGCTTCCAAGGAAGGAGAGCCCACCACCTTCCATGGTAATCTGTCTCATTTTTGAACTGCTCTAACCATTATAAAGTTATTCCTAATGATTAGTTGGACTCTGCTTTCTTATACTGTAATTTGAATCCACTAGTTCAGATCCTACCCTCTGGATGGAGCAGCAGAAAATAAGCTTGCTCCATCATCCATGTGACAGTCCTTCAGATATTTGAAGATTTCCATAATTCTGTTTAAACAAAGGCTTCCTATCTCAACCCTCTTCCAATTTGGAGTGCAGGATATACGAGAACCAAAACAGATAAAACAGCCATGCAAATTTTTAAAAAGTTTAAGAATGCTACTCTTGGGTGGGATTCAATCATATACCTGCAAATTCTTGCTGTGTAATTAAAGTTGGTTTGGTGCTCTTACGAAACAACCCTGTTCTCCCCCCACATAGGACTTTGTGCAAAGTGATGGGGAAATGCATTTTAAAGTGTGGAGTAGCAATTGCTTGGTGAAATACCATGTAAGCGCCCTGCAAACAATCAGAATCACAGAATTGTAGAGTTAGAAGAGACCACCAGGTTATCTAGTCCAACACCCTGCAGCGCAGGAATCTTTTGCCTAACGTGGAGCTCAAACCCACAACCCTGAGATTAAGAATCTCATGCTCTACTGACTGAACTATTCCAGAGGTTCAGGTTCCATTCACATATATAGCAAACAATGTCTAACCTCCCAACAAAGTTTGTGCAAGCAGATCAAGATGAATATGTCTAAAAAGGCCTGGAAGCAACCCAAAGTGGATTTTTTAAAACCTGCAGTAAAACTACAATAAAAATAGCAGCGACAATGCCAATAAAACCACACCCAGAAAATAACTGACCTCAGAGCCCCCAAACCTGGCCAAATAAAAAGGCCCCAAGCCTTCTTTTAAACATCTCTATGGCATGGCCAGACTGAATGTCACTTGGAACGGAGTCTTGCCTAGAATTCCGCCTTGAAGAAAGAAAATTAGACACAGGTGAATGGAAGCAGAAAAGGTACCCTCCCCACACTCATTGTGCTTGGTGCTGTTTTCTGGAAAGGCCAACCTGGATGTGAGCAGCTTGGCATAATCAGAATCAGACCTGGCAGAGCTGCCAACACAGAACCTGACACTCAGCTGTTGCTAAAAGTGTTCCACCATACAAGGAAACCACAGCCCAAACCAGACATCCTAATCATCTTGCTCAATCACTGCGCAAACCTCCTCTCCCCCTCAGCTAAGGCATGCCCTGGACTCTTGCTCGGGGCTTCATTTCAGCATAAAACTGCCGCATTTTAAGGAATGTTTTTGGAGCAGAAACCGATGGTGGTTCGGAACAAGGCAAGGGACTTATTAGCAAGGAAGTGGGCTCTTGCTTCTGCAGGGAGGGAAAGTGGGTGGGATGCAAAAGGAGGGCCGTCGGCACAAGAGAAGCCATCTGAAAACTGTCTTTTAAGGGAGTTTCGAGATTGTGAATTCAGACTGAGCAATCCTGACATCAGAGTCCTACATGGGATACAGTTTCCACAGCAACCAGAGGTCAAAGGCCAAAGAGGGGAGCCAGCTCCTCCAGTCAGAATTCCAATTGTTAAGTCCCTGAATAAACAGCTGAAATCGCAGGGAAGGGGTGGGGATGGCTAGAAAGCAGCTCAGTGTGGCCTTGTCAGCAAGATGTCACTAATTGTCTGCAGGAACAGCAAACTCTCAATTAACCCTTGCAGCACTGCTGCCAAGGAAAACCGCCGGGGAGTCAGCTCTCTGCACGGCAATTCAAAATGCACGCCACCCTACCCTTTCAAGGACTCCCGAAACAGCTTGCAACCTGCAAAGGTAATTGGGGGTAAAGGTGTCTGTATTATAAATGTGTCTAGGGTCCTGTGCGTGCGTGTGCGCGCACAACGACATTTCACATGCAGCACAGACTTATATTCCTTCCATTGTGCACTCGGAAGGCTGGTCACCTAGAGAGAATGCGAAACCAGTTGGATATTTATGTTGTCCAAAGCTGCAACCTCTTGCTGTTTAAACAGGCAAAAGGCAGAAGTTTTCTGATGGGTTAGGCACAGGCCAATGGCATTCCTCCCTATGAGAAAGCCCCACCCACATTCTATTCTGAGAAATCTCAAAATTCCTCTCTCTCTGCACTGTAAATCAGCGTCGACAAATTGGCTTATTTTGCACTATGCAATCCACTTTGAAGGTTCAGGTTTTCAGATAAACAGAACTATTTCAGTTTAGAGCAAGGAACGTGGCCACAGAAAGATAGGGAACGTAGAATTTAGAATTTGGGATGTGTTTGAATGTAGTAGGGTCAGGAGACAGTAGCAAAAGAAGGCAGGAAAACTATGCAGCAGGGGTACTGAAGCCTCAGCCTTCTCAATCAGCAAAAGTTCTGTCCAGGTCCGTTAAAAGTTTTTCTTTGCAGCCATGAAGGATTTAAAACCTGCTTTCTTAAGGAAAGACAACAAAACCTGAGATAAGTGGGAGGCCAAATTCCATGGCAATGTATCATATTCTGGAGAGCTACTGGGAAGCCACTGTGTCTGAACAGAATACATGCAGACAATTCCGGAAGTGTGCAACCACCCTGATGAGAAAATGCCAGCTCCCCTTTGCCCCAAAATTCCTCCAGAGCTTCCATTCCAAACAGGCGATGGAAGCTGGGAAAACAGAATCACAGGCCAGCTTAGAAAAAGAGGTTCTATAAAACTATGCCAGCCATCACCTACTGATGCTACTAAATTGGTACAAATATTAGATCTGTTGTACATGTATGGGTCTTACTTATAGGTTTCTCATAGGGGCACCTGGTTGGCCACTGTGAGAACAGTGGGCCTTTATTCTGGTCCAGTAGGTCCTTTCTCATGTCCTTATGGAAGCAAACCCAGCTTTGTAACTGCTGATGTGTGTTAAAAATAGGTAAAGGACCCCTGGATGGTTAAGTCCAGTCAAAGGCGACTATGGGGTTGCGTTGCTCATCTCACTTTCAGGCCGAGGGAGCTGGCGTTTGTCCACAGACAGTTTTCCGGGTCATGTGGCCAACATGATTAAATCGCTTCTGGCGCAACGGAACACCGAGACGGAAACCAGAGCACACAGAAACATCATTTACCTTTCCACAGCAGCGGTACCTATTTACCTACTTCACTGGCGTGCTTTTGAACTGCTAGGTAGGCAGAAGCTGGAACAGAGCAACAGGAGCTCCCTCCGTTGCAGGGATTCGAACTGCCGACCTTCCGATTGGCAAGCCCAAGAGGCTCAGTGTGTGTACAATGCATGTTTGTGACATTCCAACTTCACATTATAAAGTGTACACATAAAGCATTCTGTGTACACTCTGCAAAGTGGCAATTAGCGCCATAGCAAGGTCCACAGTCTGACCTTATACTCCCCATTTTGGAGTATGCACGTCCAAAGCCAGCCAGCTCCACATGGGAGGGTATTTCCTCCACCATGGGATACATAATGTAAAAAAGGAGAAGACAGAAGGAGAAGCGTAAGGCAGGGATGGGGAACCTGTGCCCCTCACATGTTGTTGGACTCCAACTCCCCTCAGCCCCACCCAACACGGTCAAATGATCAGGGATGGTGGATGCTGTAGTTCTGCAACATCTGAAGGCCACAAGTTACTCATTCCTGGCATAAAGAAGCACACACTATTTACAGCGAAGCTGACCATCACGAACACCTCCCCCCATTCAAGAAGCATGAGCACCACTATTGCACTAGGCGCCTCCCCCTTATATGTGTCAAGTGTAGTAGGCACTATTTTGCTGGATAATACTCATTCTAAGTAATACGCTTCCTCAAGTGTGTGAAGCACTTCTGGAACTATTCCAAGGTGGTGCAGCCCCTTCCAAATGTGCAAAATTGTAATCTGAGGTGTAGTTGACAAGACCACAAAAGCTGCTTGCAATCTAGTCTGGCCCAGTTATTTAACCAATGTATACACCACTTAACTAAAATAGTCTAGATAAACCATTTTATCACTGCAATGACCTATATGAGCCTAGAAGAAGCTGTGGTGTCAATCCAGGGCACATGCTTGAAAAACTTCAGATTTACCCAGGAGGAATGGAACACAGAATCTGAATGCAGATACACAGTAAACACAGTACACACCCACATAGCATTATCCACACAGTGTAACAAATAATGCTGCACGGTGTTGATTAAGCAAACTTTTCACTGCCTTTGCTGGTTTTGGGTAGCGTATATTAGCCTTCGCAACCTGGTCTCCTCCAGAAGTCTTGGACATCAACCACAGGCAGCATGAGCAATGGCCTGGAATGATGGGTGGTTGTATTCAAAACATCTGGAGGACACCAGGTTTGGGGAAAGTGATGCAAATTATAAATACCATCATTCGGGTTGCAGGCCTGTTTAATTCCCCCCCCCCCCAACAATTTCTATACTGCTTAACCACTCTCATCTCTATGCGGTGTACAGGCGACCCAAAACAGTAAAACTAAAAATGAGTTAAAATGATAACATGTTGGAATAAGGACCTGTCACACTGTACTGAGTAAAACACTATGTATGTAGATGGCGCTAATAATAATAATAATTTGTATGTTGATTGTTTTCATGAGCTTTATTGTGAACCTTTTCATTGCATGTTGCCTAACAGCTGTTGCTTTCAAAATAACATTAGGCAAGATAGAAATTTTATAAGATCAACTACTCTAGTGGCTAACAATGAATCCTGTGGCAAGGCCTCATATGCTTTAATCCATGCACTGCACCAAGAGCATTGTGCGACTGGTTCTGGTCTAGGCTCTGTTAGTGCCAAGTCATTATTCTCCTGATTCACACTGAGGTTGAAAAGATGGCACAAGCACATTTGGGAGCAGGATTACATTCTTTTGATAAAACAAATCTGTGCTCCAAGGCTCTAAGTCCAGGGGTGGGGGACCTGTAGGCCTCCCCCCCAGATGTTGTTGGACTCCCATCATCTCTGACCTCTGGCCATGCTGGCTGGGGTTGATGGGAGTTAGAGTTCAGCACCATCAGGAGAGCCAACTCTGCTCCAAGCTTGCCTGGAATCTGAGATCAGGTCAAAACCATTGCATCCTAGGCAAAAGTGTTCTTTGGAAGCTACTCAAGAATTTCCTTATCCTTTAAGAAAGAACACTAATAATGGGAAAAGCAAACAAGCCCCAGACATCAGGCAGGAGACCCTCAGCTACTGGGAACTCATCAAGACCTCTGGAGATTGCCTTGTGGGTTGTAGAAGAGAGAAGAAAGGAGGTTCTGGTCACAGTCACCCGCTAGGAGATAAAGGACCCTCCCTAGAAGAATATCAGAATGGGCAGATCAGCCTGGCTCCAACTGGCTTGAAATGCCAGAAAGTTTGAGGGAGGGCAGGGCAGGGCAGGGTGTGCATCATCATTATCGCAAAAGATTAGGAACTAGGAGAGGGGAACCGGCTTCTCAGAAAGGCAGGTCATCCACCAATGTGTTATTTCTTTATTGCCTTTTCATTTCTTCCTCCAAGCTCAGGAAGGCACGTAGTCTTCCCTCTCCCGATTTAATCCTCCCAACAAGCCAGTAGGGTAGTGACTGGGCCAAGGTCGCTCCATGTGCAGAAATCTGAACCCGGGCCTCCTTGATCCGACTTCAACACTCTTAACCACTACACTGGGCTGCTAAGAATTCTTCACAAACTGTGCAGCTGCAGAGACATGTTGTGTGTGTAACAAGATGCACTCTCAGCTCACTGTGAAGCAAAAGGCTTGGCTTGTGCCTTGTGAAAACTTGGTGTGCAGAGAGATGGGCAGACTTCAGGCTTATAAGATCTAGTTTTTTTGTTCTTTTTCTAGAACACCAGATCCACCAACCAGAGCCTGGTTCCAAAGTCACACACACAAACATTAAAAAATAAAATAAAAGGGTGCCTCTGAGCAAACTCTGAGCCTAGAAATTTATTTCCTGCCCAAGAATAGTATGGAGCTCATAGTCCTTTCACACAAAAGAGCACTCCTAGTTACCATAACTTTCTTCCTTTCAGCAGCCTAATTTATGTGGGGAAGTCATCTCGCCACTTCTATTTTTAATCAACTGGTCATCAGAAACACTTACCAATCTAGTATTATTATTTATTAAATTTGTACACCACCCTTCATCTGTAGATCGCAGGGCAGTTCATAACATAAAAATGCAAGATAAAACCCACAAAACACATAAAAATAAAAACAAAAACTAACCAATAATCCCCCCTCCCAAAACATGTTTAAAAGGGCATTGGATGTCACCCAGCCAAAGGCCTGGTTGAAGGGAAATGTTTTCACCTGGCAGCTAAAGGTGCATAATGAAGGCGCCAGGCAAACCTCCCTAGGGAGAGCATTCCACAAATGGGGAGCCACTGCAGAAAAGGCCTATTCTCATGTTGCCATCCTCCAGACCACTCAATGAAAAAGGACTTCTGAGGATGATCTCAGGGCCTGGGTAGGTTCATACTGCAAACCACCCAGTGATCAGCTAGCGGATCCTTATAGGATATATCTCCTGCCCACTCCACCCTAGCATCATTTTATTTGTATGCCACCCTTCCATAGATAAAACCATGCCCAAAGTGGATTACAGCATTTAAAAAAACATAATTGCAAACATAACGAAAGTAGTCATAAGCAATAAATAAAACATCAAAGAGTACAAAACCAAACTGAAACAATTTCCACATAAACCATAACAAGATGTAAAATAAAGATAAAAAATAATAATAACAGGAACAATGGGGGGGGGGTTCATCTGGAACTAACTCTGTTCTGGCACCTCTCAGGTGGGCGCCATTGCCATTATAAGAGAGCAAGGGAGGTGTTGATGGCAAGTTCCGGCACCTCTTTTTCTAAAACAAATAGCACTGGCAACAATCCCATCCCTCTGCAACTCTCAGGAAACCCCCCGCAATGTAGCTCAATGAAAGGAAAGGTTTCCAGAAGACAGAAACCAAAAACTATTGGGGTTAGAAAGGAGGAATCACACTGGGGGCGGGAGGGTAAATTTCCCAAGGGACTTTTGTGAATGAAAAATGCTGGATCCCCCTTTTGCGTTCTCCACCTGACTCACAAACCTTCCTGGCAGCGTTTTCAAAGGAAGGGCAAGATCCATGGGACTGCTGGAGTATCACATGGGGAGAGAGCCAGTTAGCAAGGTCCCGGGTCAATGAAAAAAGCTCTTGGCTCCGCTCACCCCAGTCCGTGGCACGTTAGACCTTTTGTTCCTGCTCTGTGCATTTGGAGTGGCCTCTCCTTCTCCAGCTTTCGAAGCAAACACAGCGATTCTTTCCCCTCTCTAGTTCTCCCAGGGCCTGAACGATGCAAAGGGTGGAGAATGGCAGCGCCATGGGTAAGCAAGGGTGGAGAGTAAAAAGGGGAATGAATTCCCTGGGGAAGGAAAGGGGGGACTGGGAGAGGCCTTTTGCCCAGCTCCTTGAAAGGGCAGCTTCCTCAGTCTTTGCTTGCCCTTGCAGAGCTAAGGGCACTCTCACTCCCTGAACGCCCCTTGCAACACAGAAGCATATGGTTTGAGCTATGGGGCCTTTTGCCCCAATGGCTTACAACTCCGATAACGAATCTGCCAGGTGGAGGACTGCTTTAATTAGACCAAAGGAGTTTGATTGTCTCGTTTTATTTCTGCCAAGGGTCTCTGATCTAAGGATGGCTTCGTTTGACCAAGATCATGCAAATAATAAAATGCAAGAGGCGTGCTTCTGAACATGAATGGAGTACCATTCCCTCACCTACTGAGCACACTTGTAGCAAGCTGGAAACGTGGCTTCCAGAACAGCTCTGAGGTGTCTTGTTTCATACAACAACGAAGAATAACAAAGACGAACAAAGTCCGGAGGGGTCCTTATCACTGGTAGCTTTTTTGGCCTAGAACCACCCCTAGAAGCTGCTGTTTGGGGAGATGAGCAGGATGGACGAAAGATTCAATATGCCTATGGTGCTTCTTGGTGCATTGGGACTGCACTCCCATGTGCTACTGTGGGAAGGAAAGCACAGATTTTGCGTGCAAAGCCAAGGCAGCAGTGCTTCCTGCGCAGGGGTGCCAACTTGAATTAAATGGGGGGGGGTAAGTCCCACCCCTCATAATCGATCACATGACATGGTGCATACATACCATTTGAATGGCAATGCCCATTAACCTGGGGAGGGGACTGGCCTCCTCAAATATTTTATTGGGTGGGGGTGAAGGAACCTCAGCCCCTAGGAGTGAGCTCCTAGTTCGTGCAGACTGAAGTCACTTCTGATAGCAAAAGGCAAACGTCCTTACCCTGCACCCATGCCACCACTTAGTACTTTCCCACAGTGCTCAAAGCATTGCCCATATATTATCTCACTCATCTCTTCCAACCACCATGCATTAGCCCCATATTGCTGGTAGGTGGGTGAGATTTGGACTTGCCCGAGGCCTCCTTGTGAGGTCACAGCTGAGGAGATTTGAGGCAGCGATTTCCTGACTCATAGCTCATTCTCTAGAATGTCTAACCTGGAGAAAAGAAGACAGAGAGGTGATATGATAGCCATCTTCAAATAACTGAAGGACTGTCACCTAGAAAATGAAGCAAGCTTAATTTTTTTTGCTGCTCTAGGGGGCAGCACCCAAACCAATGGATTCAAGTTGCAAAAACAGAGATTCAGGTTAAATGTTAGGAAGGATTTTCTGATGGCAAGAGCTGTTCAACAGTGGGATGGAATACCTTGGAAGGTGATGGGCTTTCCTTCACTGGAGGTTTTAAGCAGAGGATGGGTGGCTACCTGCCAGCGATTTTTTAGATGTGATTCTTGCATTGTAGGGGGTTGGGACTCTTGGGACACTCCCAACTCTACAAATATATTATTCTGGTATTCTTCTCTATGCAAACAGTTTGCATTGGATTGTTGTTGTTGTTATTGTTGTTGGCTTTGGGGGAAGAGTCACACTTCTATCCTGCCCTTCATCTAAAGGAACTTGGGTCGGCATACCTGGACTTATCTGTTTGAATAACTAAAACCAGCTATTTGAGGTAGATTATGATAAGTTTACCTTGTTCAAGGCCACCCAGCAATGATATAGGATTGTTAAAAGGGCTGAACCCAAAAGGGTAACGTGCTACTTTTTGCAAACGTTTAAGCTCCCAATAAAAAGTGACCCCTTACGCCCTGCATTCTTTTCAGCGGAAGCCAGGATGCTCCTAAAAGTATTGCTGCTCGGCTTCTCCACCCAGGGGCGGGGAAGGGGCATGGCAACGCCATGCACAGGAACATCTCCCTCTTGCTGCTGGTAGAAGCACTGAGGTCAGCGGAGCCTGAAGCAGGCACTTTACCCCACCTCATGGGCGGGCCGGCTCTGACCAGATTGCACTGTAAGGCATAAGGCAGCTTCCTATGTGCTATGGGGAGAGCCTTCTTGATGGTGGCACCCTGGCTACGCCATAGTTTCCTCACACAAGCTCACTTCGCACCTTATCTTTTTGGTACTAGGTGCAGATCTTTTTATGCATTTAAATAAATATCCTTTGAACAACGTGTTATTTAAAGAAAGCTTTCAAGGTCTGAGTAACACTTCACTGTATAAAGTGAACTGTTAATTGGTTTCATTCTTCTGCTGCTAGGAATGAAAGTCTGAAGGCTAAACACACCAGAAAGCTTTGGATTCCCATAATGCCTGAACCAACCCATGGTTTCTAGCCAACCAGAAGCCATTATACGTTGCTGGCTTGCTGATTATAGGTTATTGGAGGGCAAAACGAATACAAAAACAACTTGATCCCTGTCTGGTTCAGTTATAATGGGGAGCCAAGGCTTCCTGGTTGTTTATACTGCCTGGAATGACTGGCAGCATGCACCACCACTCTTCCTTTTTCACAATAAACTTACTGAAGAACTCCTTTAAAGTGGAGTTCTTTATCCCAGTATGTATTAGACTTGAAATTATTTTTACATTATGAAACTGTTTTTGTTTTTTATATAAATGAAATTGTTTTTAATTGCTGATATTTTTACTGTGTGGCATTTTATGGGAAGCAATTCACAAATGGAATCAAATAAATAAATGCATGTGGTTTAATGGCCTTGCAATACTGGGCAGAAGACTCCCGGGACGCCCTCTCAATTTGACCATCCCACCATGTGCCACATAAAGGGGGCCACTGATGTTTTTTTGCTCAAGCCTCCTTCTGAGGTTCTCTAGCTTTCAGCCTGAGGACCTTTAAAAACAGCCATGCCCAGAGGCAGTGATCAGCAAGCGCTCCAGAGGCACTTTTTATATTTTGAATTTCTGAGCTCTATGTGTGGTTTACAAGGAGTAGTGAGGAAGGGCAGGGATAAGAAAGGAAGAGGGGAAAGAATAGTATGTCTGAATCTAAACTACGGGTTTATTTACCTTGCGGGCAAGAAGCTTCTGCCGAATTCAGGATGGATGGTTCCATAAAAGGGCACTGCTATCTCAGTCTCAAGGCTGAAGCCAAGGCGCATGGGAATAAGTAACAAATGGTGGAAGTAGGCAGAGGTGCTGCCCTCTTGTGGTCACACTGACACTGTTTATAAAGCTTGCACATTATTGGTTCTGTGTTCTCTCATTTAGGCATATGAAGGCAAGGCATCCCTCACAGCTAGCACAAAGGAGAGCACAAGGCCAGCTTCTGCTCGAAGTTATTTGAGCCCAGCTGTGACTCCACCTAGGGCAGGGAGTTTACGCTCAAACCACTGGACAGCTGCACAAAATCATTTGGAGGTTTAGGGAAGTTTTGGGCTTCGCAAACATGACTGAAAGTGAAGTGAATCATGCTTCTTTTGTGTCTGTGCTGTGTAAGAAATGAAATGGGCATGAGATTCTCATGACATCCAGCGTTCATGCATCTTTCCATAGTTGAATTGCACCCACAAGGCAAAAATAAAAGGGATACAGATTGAAAATATATGGGATTTATAAACAAAAGCAAAAACCATAGTGGATTTCAAAAGCCTGCCCTGTTCAAAAATCCCACAAAACAGAGGCACACCAAAAATTTGGCAACTACAGCACAAGTTATCTGCTACTGCGCAGAACAGATCTGTTACTGATGCAGATCTGGGGAAACAGGTGACAATCTATTCTTCATAGGCTGCATTAAGCATCACAAACTTGTGGCCAACCCACTTCCAAGATTCCCATCATGGTGGCCAGAACTCACCTGGCTCTTACTTGCAACAACTTGGATTTGTCAAGTAACAATAAAGCAAATGCTCTGGACTCTAGAGCAGCCTTGCCCAAACTTGAGTCCCCAGATGTTGTTCAACTGCAAGCCCCATCATCCCCAGCCAGCATAGCCAATTATCAGGGATGATGGGAAGTATGGTCCAATAAAATAAGGGAACCCAGGGTTGGCAAGGCTACTCTAGAACAGGTGGCAAAGCTGCAGCCCTACAGATGTCATTGGGTTCCAACTCCCATCATCCTCAGTCAGCACAACAAATGGTCAGGAATAACAGGAGTTGTAGTCCAACAACATCTAGAGGACTACAGCTTCCCCAACCCTGCTCCAGAGCATTACAATCACACACAAAAACCTGAGACTAAGAGCGAAGTCACTACATCCAAAGCTCAGAGGGTATGCGGTCCAAGCAGACATGACCCTGTAGCATCTCTTTAAAAGTTTTGAAACCCTATGGTGGTGTTTGCCTCCCTCCCCCCGAATTTGTGCACACGCATCAGTGCTAAAAGGACTGATGGGAGGAACAGTTGAGGTCACCAAGTGTTGCTAGGCTGAAACCAAAAACAGAGAAGCATAAGCACA